GAACGCTTTTTTCATTCCTGTGAGGGCCGTGATGAACGTGTATTCGCAACTCGGCATCGTATCGAAATCCATGAACAAATCGTGATCCAGAGTGAAGGGCCCGACCGCGAGATCCGCTTCCTCCCGATCTAGGGCCCCCAGCATTCCGGACCAGGTGTTGTTCTCGAACTTATGTCCGTACAGTCCGTCGGAAGGTATAGACGCTTCGTAGGTCAGATTCAGAGAATAGGTCAGATTGTCAACCAGGGAGCCGAACATGCCCTCCAGCTCGATACGGCCGTCCGGCAGTGCCGCCGGGTACACCCACGGGGGGAACTGGAAAGATGGGAGTCTTCCTCACAACTTCGGCCTCCATCGATTCCCGAGATTCCCTATCATCTGGATTCTAGATCAAGTGCTTTTGAACCTCCCTCCGTGCGCCGTTCCGCCGTGGCGTGTGAAGTTTCCGCGCCCGCCTCAATGGCATCTTGCAATAGCAAACTGAATTTTCTGGAGCAATACTGCTCGAATGCATGAGTGATGATCGCTGGTCACTACTTCCGGGAGAGCGCCTGAGATTGTAACATGGATCGACGGGGCACTCGGGGTATGAGCAATCCCCTTTGCCGCATTTCATCAGTAAAGCTCAAATTGCTCGTTTTAGGCTAGAGAGGCCTCCAAGCTGCTAATGAGAACTCTTGGCGTATTATCTTCGGATACCGTTCCCCGAGATGCGGATGCAAGCTACGCTCAATCGCTCGAAATCCGACTGGTCATCCTATAGCCCGTGCATAGCTCACGGACTCGCGCCCCGTGCTGAGCACTCCCTTCTCGTCTCTCCTCCCAGTGGATAGGATGCGTACTTCATCCGTTGGAATTTAAATTCCTGTAGGGAGATACACAGCTCGTAGAATCTCTATGACATCTGCGGTACCTTGGAGCCTTGCCAGAAAATGGCTCTCGTGCGACGAGAAACGAATCTCCTACTGCTCGCGTCTGTTAGAGGTGAGCTTCAATCAATAATTCACCGCGAGGATGCATATCACGGATCGCGTAGGCAGCGAGTCAGTTTGTCGGGTAGTGTTGCTTCAGTACGGGCATATCCATTAGGCCGGAGAGAGCTCCACGATCT